AAAAAAAAAAAAAAAAAAAAAAAAAAAGACAGGCCAGGATCTTGCACTTGCCAGGCAGGAACGGTGCCACTGAGTAGTATTCCCACCCTCTAAAGCAATTTAAATTCTGAGACACCTCTCCGATAAGCCCGCTAGCAACACAGAAAATCTTTCAGCGCCAGCCTTAATCCTCCTGGGTCTAAATCCTTTCACACATGCTGTGCCTCTACCAACGCCATCACAGCTGTTAGTAGCGCCTTCTGTGCATGGAAATCTGTTTAGTTTAATAATTTACCTGAGCGAGCCGGAGATTTAGCTCAGTGGCACCGTGCCTGCCTCGCAAGAGTAGGTGCCTGAGTTCAATCCTCGATACAAAAAAATTCATCCGAGCGTTTTTAAAAGTTTACTAAAAATGGCTCAACAGCCCACCGCCATTGCCCTTAAGAATTCAAAGTTGAGCTCCTCCCAGGGGAGATCCGGTTGCGTTCCCAGAAATCAAAGGGAAGGGCGGTGCTCGCGTTACGCCACGTAGGGGCGCAAAAGCTTTGAAGCTGGGTTATGTATTTGTGCCGTACAGTTCCCCGCTTTCGTTTTTCCATCACTCTAAAATTGCTTGAAGAGACTTTTAAACACTTACTAGTGTTAATTTCAGAAAGTTTTTGTACAGCTGTGAAAAAGTTATGTTCCGTGGCGGAAGAGACCATAATTTTCACCTCGCCGTTTTGCGCTATAGTGGCGCCGCCATTTTGACCAACGGTGAATCATGGGGGCCGCCATTTTTGCGGGGCAGACGCCAATTTCCGGTTCCGGTGGAATCCGTTCTTTCTTTTTAGACTGCCCGGCTCCTTGAGCGGTGGCGGTGGCTGTCTCTGAGAAGTATCTGTTGCCATCCTCGTTGGTGTAGCGACACCCGTACCTGGCATCAGCATGACTGAACAGATGACCCTTCGTGGCACCCTCAAGGGTCACAACGGCTGGGTAACACAGATTGCTACCACCCCACAGTTCCCGGACATGATACTGTCTGCTTCTCGAGGTACGGACGGGCTAAGGTGCGGGACAGAAGGTTGGGTAGCTGGCGATTGTATTGTGACCCGTGGCTGGGCCAGTGGCAGGTCCAGTAGACCTCCATCGGGGTATGAGTTGGATGCGCGGGTCTGAACTAGATCTCAGCGTGGTCGAACCACCTTGCAGATAACCCTGCTGAGGCAACCCCTGTCTGCCAGAAAGGATGAGTACTTTTTAAATCTCATGCTTGCGCTGCAGCAAGTGTGATTAAGTATTCCTAGAGGCCTACAGGTCGGGCGCAGCGGTGATGACTCCAACATGCCATCTGAGTCCTCGTGCTGAAATCCAGAGGCTGTTTCTGAGCTGTCGCCGGGCCCTCAACTCGGGAATGGAGATGAAATCCAGAGGCCCTTATAAGGCCTATTTGGAAGCTTTCTTGTGCCTCTGACTTGCTCTCATTTGTCAAGAGGTCTCCAAATGCAAATTTCATTCCCAAAATTCTGTATTTACCCCCATTAGACTTCAGAGAAGGTATAGAATGATGTTTAATTTGTCTGACTATCAGGAGAAGGTATCCATAATCTCTGGTTTAAAGAATAATTGTACAGCTCAGATACACCAGCTTGTGTCCTGGATTAGGGAGTCATTTTCATTTGCCTGTGGATAGTGACTGCTCACATAACCTGCAGTTACCACCTGACTTGGTGAACTTTTCATTTTGTTAACCTAGTCATGACCCTCAGACACCTGGGGCTTCTTACTGGTTTTCCTTGTATTTTATCTCTCTTTATTAGACAAGACTATCATCATGTGGAAGCTGACCAGGGATGAAACCAATTATGGCATCCCTCAGCGAGCTCTGAGGGGCCATTCCCATTTTGTTAGTGATGTCGTCATCTCCTCAGATGGCCAGTTTGCCCTTTCTGGTTCCTGGGATGGGACTCTGCGTCTCTGGGATCTTACCACGCAAGTAGCTGTTCTGGGGTCTTGGGGAAGAAAGCTGGGCAGAAATAAGGTAGATGCGTTTGGGAGGTGGTATCCCAGGGGAGATCTGGTCCATTGGGGAGAAGGATACAGCTAAGAATACTTAAGGCAGGTGGCCGTTGTTTAGCTTTCTTTCTGCTGAGGACTTGTTTAGTTGGAACTTTTTTTTGCTGGGTATAGCAGTTAGGAACTTGGCTATAGTTTGTCTTAATAGTTTGTCACCATATTTTGCCTTAAAAGCTGTCCTAGATGGTCAAATATTTGGCATGTGTACTAGAGGATCCTGGTGATGACAGACGACATAGTCATCCAATCCCCACAAGGGAATGAGGACATGTCCTGCAATTCTGAGTGGATTCTCTAACATAAACTCATCCAAAGGCTTAGTGTGATCCAAGCCACTTCCATGATTATATGAGCAGTGTACTTTTCTTGGTCAGGGACAGGCCAGGGTAAGGATCTGGAAGGAGAAAGTTTGTAAAGTCTGTCTAGAGAGTAACCAAGTACTCCTCTCTCAGGGGCACCACCACAAGACGATTTGTAGGCCATACCAAGGATGTGCTGAGTGTTGCTTTCTCCTCTGACAACCGGCAGATTGTCTCTGGATCCCGAGACAAAACCATAAAGTTATGGAATACTCTGGGTGTATGCAAATACACTGTCCAGGTAAAGTTAAAGCAGTGTCAGAGCGCACATGTTCAGGGTTGTCTCTCACCCTTTTGACCTTCAGTTTTAAATTCTGCCTGGAATCTAATCTGGGTCTTGAAAGTTTGGGTTCTGAGAATATGAATACAATATTATTGATCCATGGGGTGGGAGAATCTAACATTCTGGGATGGGACTTTTTTTTTCCCCCCCTGTAGGATGAAAGTCACTCGGAGTGGGTGTCTTGTGTCCGTTTTTCACCCAATAGCAGTAATCCTATCATCGTCTCCTGTGGCTGGGACAAGCTGGTCAAGGTGAGCTTCAAGCCTGGGTAGAGAGCCTTTACAAAGTACAATGTGGCCTTTACCTCCCTGATGGTCCCAGGATTCAACTTTGAACATTTTGTAGGTTGCCCGTTTACTTTTTCTCTCTTGGTATCTTTTCAATAAATATCATTTGTTTTTTGTTTGCGTTTTATTTTTATTTTTGTTTTGGGGTATAAGTCACCGCACAGCTTTTGTTGACCTGTTTTGAGCGACCAAGATAACTTTAAATTTCTGTTTTGTCATTGATAGAGTCATAATTGGTTGTCATATCCAGGAATGGTTTAAATAAATCATGCCATGTTTTTGTTGTTGTTGAACTTGGACCCTCCTCGTCCTGGCCATTCTAGGGCTAGACTGTTTAATTTATGAATGCCCATCTTTGTAGGTATGGAATTTGGCAAACTGCAAGCTGAAGACCAACCATATTGGCCATACTGGCTATCTGAACACTGTGACAGTCTCTCCAGATGGATCCCTGTGTGCTTCAGGAGGCAAGGTATTTGGAAGCTAGGCATCCTCCTACTCAGTGGTATAGAATACTGTAGTTTGAGTTGTTAACATAAAGCAACACTTAAAAATTAGCCAAGTTGTCCAGAAATACATTTTTGTAAGATAATTTCCTGAAAATTGGTAGTCTTAAGCATAGTCTGAAAAGCTGTTTTCCTTAGTTCTTTGAAGCAATAGGTGAACCTATATTTTCAGAACTTACAGTGAGGTATCTGTAAGTTGTTAGAGGCTCTTGATACAGCTAGTGAGATATGTATTGAAGAACAGTTTTAGAGAAATAACTAGTACTTGAGGCATTAGCTTTTAGGAACCCAGGCTACTGTGGGAAAAATGAGAATCAGTTTTATATACTCTTCAGATGGTTGGGATTGACATAGAAGAGGTTACTCATCTTTTCCTCTCTGCCAGGATGGTCAGGCCATGCTGTGGGATCTCAATGAAGGCAAACATCTTTATACATTAGATGGAGGAGACATCATCAATGCCTTGTGCTTCAGCCCTAACCGCTATTGGCTCTGTGCTGCTACTGGCCCCAGCATCAAGATCTGGGTGAGTATGGCTATACTAATGGATTTAATACCTACCTGGCTGTATTCTAACCACTGTACTGATTGTGATTTTATGTGCCGTTTGACTGGAAGTCAAGCTTTCTGAATAAATGCTGGCCATTAAACTGTTAGTGGAGACCCAAAAAGGTTAAAATTTCCTAGGATTTAAAATTTTGGTGCCAGCCATGGTGGTCCACACCTGTAATCGAGCACCCGGGAGGCTGAGGCAAGATGATCGCTGTGAGTTCAAGACCAACCTGGGCTACATAGTGAGTTCCAGGTCAGTCTCAACTACATAGTGAGACCCTGTATCAAAAAAAAAAAAAAAATGGCAGCAGTAGGAGATTCTGCCTGTTAGAATAGACAATCACACAGGTTGACTCACTGAAACTAGGCATGACTATCCTTTTAGCCTAGATCTTTGTTAGGGGTGTTCATCGTGTTTATTTTTTGACCTGTTCCTAGGATTTGGAGGGTAAGATCATTGTAGATGAACTGAAGCAAGAAGTTATCAGTACCAGCAGCAAGGCAGAGCCCCCTCAATGTACCTCACTGGCCTGGTCTGCTGATGGCCAAGTAAGTTGATCTGTCCTCTGACTGCTTGTTCTTGTGGTCCACCCCCCACCCAACAATACTAGTGTCTAACATAAAACAGGTTGGCCAGGTTGATTCAGATAAACTGGTCAGCTGTGCCAGTAAATGCCAGGTGTGCATTCTGCTTCAAAGAAAAGAGTGATCTAAATGGTAGTGGTTACTGTCCTTCAATAACTCACTTTGATTAAGTGAACTAGTTTTAATATGTCTGAGTCCTTATCACCAGCTTGTTCTGGTAGGAAAATGTGATTAGTTCCTGCAAACTGGTGATTATGGGGAGGGGGCTCTTAAAGGAAAGGCCTTGGGACTGCAGAGTCCGTTGGCTGGGCCTGATGTATGATTATTGTTTCTCCTTTACAGACTCTGTTTGCTGGCTACACAGATAACCTGGTACGAGTGTGGCAGGTGACTATTGGCACCCGCTAGAAACATGTCAGCTTTAAAAAAAATAAATTGGCTTTGTAAAACTGGCTTCAGGTCTTTTTTTGTTTTGTTTTTGTACTTGGGAAACTTGGCACCTTGCACTTCCGAAGCAGGTGGCAGCAGAACCACTGACCTAAATCCCCTGCCCCAGCTCTAACTTTTTGACAGTATTTTTTTTCAGCAGCAGCGGTGATACATACATGCTTGTAATCCCAACTATGTGGGAAGCTGAGGCAGGAAGATTACTTGAGGCTAGCCAGGGCAAAATAGCAAGATACTGCTTCAAAAAACAAAATAAAACATACATTTCTCTGCTAAGCTGTTTACAGTTAATCTGGCACTGATAAACCTAAGCTTGTTGACCAGGGGCTTTGTGGGGAGATAGCAGTCTTAGTTTCCTGTAGGGTTGGACTGGCATCAAAAGTGACATTTATGGGAAGTCATAGAGGTTAGTTTCTAAAAAAATGTCTGTATTACAGGTCATATTTGTGACCTTGAAGCTTAGATTTTCTTGAGCATAGGGGACATTCAAGGCTGTCAAGTCACTTTAGGAATAGATACCTCGGGTTGAACTCAACATAGCAAATTAAGGAGGTGAATGTACCATAATCTCCATCAATTTGGTGTTGACAGTTTTTTTGTCAATGTATTGTCTCGCCATAAGACTTGATATTTACACAATTCCTTTCATAAGAGGCTAATAGTATTATAAATATCACATTGGCTTGACTATCTCCAACCCCAGGTTATGAGGATAGGTAGCCTGGTGAAAAAGTTAATGAATTATCATTTTAAGCAGACTTGATAACAGGTATGTAGTATTAATTCAAACTTAACCCACAGCCCTTGCAGTAATCTTTTGTGGGGTTTTGGTTAGTGGTGGTGCTTTTAATTGCCAGTTTTCTTTCCTTTGCTGCTGACAGAAAGCCCACATATTTTGGGGAAAGTGATTTGTTCAGTTAGCTCTGGAGCTGTAGGGTCTAATTTGCCTCAAATCTGTCTAAAAGTGGGTAAGGGCCTTTTATAAGGGAAAGGGAGGGAAGCAATTTAGTGTTCCATTTTGCATGGCTCAGTGTTGTGCAGTTCTGGGCAAACAGCTACAGCATGTTAAAGGCCACCATGTGCACCCTTCATTTCTTAGTTCATAATGGTAAAAAGACGTAGGGCTTCTGACAACTGCATGTGGTGACACTCTGGAAATACATTGTAAGGCCCTGGTTTTTGTGAAGGGTTTTGAGGAAGCTTCAGTCTGTTAGCATCTCAAAGTGAAGTACAGTGGCATATAATCAGGTAGTGTTGAGGGGCTGGCTACAGCTCGGTGAGAAAGGAGCTTCCCTGG